TCTTCCTTCCTCCTCCTCTCTCTCCTCCCTCCTCTCTCTCCTCCTCTCTCTCTCTCTCTCTCTGGTTTACCATCTGTTGTTCCCCGTAACTGAGGGTTAGACGTGCTTGCACTCTACCATCAAGCCCCAGCATCAGGGTGCAAGCACGTACATGTATAACCTCACATCAGTGATGAAAATGTTTTCCAACATTATCCTCATTTCTGTTATAATTGAAAAGAATACTACTGTAATTCACGGTTCAGGGTAGCAAAATTTCCCGGTCTGAGAAAAATGGACATGATCACGGAACTATATGTTCACGGTGGTGACAGGTGCAGGAAAAAGAAGTCCATGAATTATTTGATAACTGTATTAAATGATGAGTTCACTGTACAGAGGTGACAGTGAAAACAGTGAACATAAAAGTACCTTGAAAAAAATCAGGAATAATTATTATTTATTACAGTATTAACTCAGTCTACAGTAAACATTGTACTTTGTTTGGTTTATTGGTATCCATGTAGTATGATGTATATCTGTATGTATTGATTGAAATATGATGTTGAAAACACCAGTTGCCTAATGCATTTTCAATTGTATTTATTGGATCCCATATATAGACCAAAAAAAGAGAATCCCTACCTATACTATAGTGACTTAATTTTATAGAACCATAATTGGAAACACCACATTAATTTTCCTGCTGTCTGACCTTGTATGATTCATTGGCCACCATGAATGGTGTTAAACATTAGTTCCAACAGAACAATTATAGAACACCGTGAAGAAACATGTCTTTGCTTTCGCAGGTGATAGCAAACTGCCTTGTGCTGTTGACAATGAGTTCTGCCTTACCAGTACTGTCAAGAACCATTGGTGAGTGCTGGTGTCATTAGTAGGGCCACACCAATTTTATTTTATGGATGACATCCGCGCGCGCATTGATTTTCCCCCGATCTGAAAAAAAAAAAAAGATCACGTATTCCGAGGTTCTGGCCTGGCTTTAGGCCTGGGTAGTGCATGGTGGTGATAACTCTGGTCGACGGCAGGCTACCGAAGCTCCAAGACTCAAGAACTCAGTACATACGTACAGCAGTGTCGATTCATATATTCCGCAAAAATCCAGCATGTGTCGGCCTGTCGTATACGTCGCTATGTAATGCGCCAAATTCACAGTACCAGGTTTGTATTCCTGTGGTTTTGTAGCATTTTTATTTTTGGCCGGATTTTTATTTTTTTCGCCCGCGCGCACTAGTTTGGGGGTCTTCAGAGGATGTCATCCATAAAATTAAATCGGTGTGGCCTAGTGTGAAATAAATAAGCTGCTATCTGGACATGGTAATAATGTATGCTCTTGTAACAGTTGTTATTACATTGTATGCTTTAACGGAAATACTTTGTCAACAAAAGGGATCACAAAGGTGTGAAAACAGTGCCAAAGTTTCAGACAGCTAGAAACAGCTGATGGATTGCATCAAGGGTATTTGTTGAATGATCTCTTAAGAAAACAACCACATGCAGGGCTCGAAATACTGGGTGCATACTTAGTGCACCCAAAATTGGAGCTGTGCACCCAATTTTTTTCTGGAGGTATTTTTTTTACATATTGTTTAATAGATGTATGTCAGAAAAATTATATAATGTTGCAGTACTTGTTCAAGCTTTTAAAGTTAGCTCCCATTTCAGATTCAAGCTCAGAAGAGGAGCAGTAAGAAATAGGTTTCATTTTATATGGTTCACCTATTCCCAAAAATCAATTTCGAGCCCTGACATGCTTTTATATGAAATCCCATTCATTCCTCTACTTCATGTGTTTCAGGGATCACCCACTTTGACCTGTTGGGGTACTTTGGTCGCTTCAACTGGCTGGGTAATTTCTACATCGTGCTGTTGTACAATGTGGTGTTCGCAGTGGGAACAGGACTGTGTCTAGTCAAGAAGTTCTCCGTGTCCGTGCGGAGAGAACTGTACGCACGGCTCAGAATGTACAGCCCCGTCACACGCAGACGACAGTCACGGACAGAATCCATGAGCGCCGCCGTGGCACACACAGCCAATGGCATGACTGCTACCATGGCAGCAAGTTTGAATCCAGCCAATGAAACTGGAGCTGCCACGGCAACAGGTTCAAACTCGACCAATGAGAATTTGTCTAACGGAACTGCGCACTCGATCAAATCAGACTGATTTTTTTTTTCAGGCCTACAAGACAACCCCGTACATTTCCAATTGGGCAAAATTACATGACGTTACGGACTTTCTTTGAGCTTTTTTTTTTGCAGGAGTACATTTTGTAGCAGCTTTTGTTCCCATCTTGCTGTGAATACTGGTTGAAGAGGAATTAAAGAGGCAGTGTCTGAGAATTGGAAAAGCACAAGGAGGAGCAAAGAGTGGAAACAAAACATGTACTGGAATGGATTAAAAAAGACAAGGTTTCGAGTGTGTTGACTTTACAACTATTGAAGGAGGATTGAACAGAGAAACGTATAACAGTGAAATGAGGAAGTCATATAGAAGAGTACATTGTTGCTGACTTGCTATAGTAGTCAGTACTACATAGAGCATCTAAAATTGCTCTGTTGTGTGTCATAAATAATTGTTTTTTTGCCACCATGAAAGAAAAAGTATGCAGTTTGCTGTGAAGTTTTATGCACAATTATACAATATAAGCACCATGAAGTATTATGTATTATGTGGATAATCCCTAGATACTGTTTCTGCTAAGCCTGGCAACAGTTGACTTAATTAGCCATTAGTCACTTTTTTTGGCGACGCCTCAGGGGCGGAGGCATTTTTTTAGCTTCGTAAGCAGCTACTTGCAGTGGTTACTAAGCACCACAGCAGAACTAGAAGGTAAAGAAATAGAGATTTTTGTTGATTTGAAAACTTTGAAAAACAGCCAAGAGATGCTTTTTGCTTGTTATCTTCATTTTTATTTACACAGTTGCTTTTGTAATTAGCGTATCTTTGTTTGAGAAAGCTCCATGGCATATAATGTCTATGAAGTTTCAGACCCATCTTACGAAAAAGACATGATGGCCAGTTGTAATGTTGAAAAAAACAAACAGTGTTTCAAACTCTACCTTTTTAGTTTCTTGCTTTATTTTTAAATGTAAAGCTTTGTATTGACTTTTGTAAATCCATTCATAGAACTAATTCTGTAAATAATCACTTGTGTACAAATTTGTTCACTCTTTTTTTAGAGTGATTTTCTGTGAGAATCAAATCTTATGATTAATTAGCCCAACTGTCCTAATCATCTCAGTCTGTACAGCTTCATGTGTATTGTTTATTTTTGCTATCATTAACCTCTGTAAAGCATGACTGTGTATCCTGTTAATGTATCCTTTGAGTTGTGTCATGGACTTAGCACCAAAACTGCAAGATGTTGTAGTTTATACTAGGGTTGTCAGCCACATATTTTTGTCAAATTCAACTTCACGAGTCAGTTACTGTACAGTAGTTCTGCGTAGTACCTAAACCCACATTTAGGTTCAGGTCAGAATTCAAGTCCAGAGGTTTAGGTTCAGTTCTGGACTCGTAAGTCCGGACCTAAACCCATGGCATGTACAAAATTGCATGTTGGCAACTTTGCAGTGTTGTATGGGCAGAACTTTGGCCACATAACATGGAGGCCGACACTTGACGATGCCCAATGGCAGTGTTTTCTTCATTTTGCAGCACAGATTTTGCAATCTATGGAAGGTTTTAGGTGGTTTGGAAAGAAAAGGGGTATGTGAAATGTTTTTTTTGTTGTTGTAATAAGTCTGGACGCAGTTCTTGACTTTTAGGTTTTTTTGGACTTGAACCTAAACATTCTTACAAGTCCGGATCCAAGTCCAGTGAACCGGTATGCAGCACTACTGTACAGACATTATGCTCCTACTGCACAGATACGTCATACAAGTTGAAATAACACACTGGCTTGTTAATCTTCCATTAAGAAATTTCACTTTGAATGGGTGTCACTCTAGGCATTTGTGTACATTGTGTCTTTAAAGTTTGCAAATGTTTCTTGCTCAGTGGGCACAGACAAACTCACTATAAACTCTGCTTGCTTTTGTATTTTGTGGTTTCGTTGGACATCTACAGGGTATATCATGGGCCAGTGCACTTTCACCCACGAGTACCTTAGGATCTCATTTTCTAGCCTCCTTTGCAGACTTCTGTGCTGGCCATGGTGGTGTTAATTTTTGGGAGGGGAGAGACACAAGTTTTGCAGGGGAAGGAGTTTTGCCACACAGAAACTCCCTTCCTGTCAAAACTCCCTCCATGGCAAAACTCATGTTGCTTCCCATTAAAAAATTACCGCTGCCAGCTCACTTACCAGATACATGAACCCAGTGACTCTGAATTATAAACCCAAGATACAAGACTACATGTTTACCGGTAATTGCTTTCAAGGAACATACATTATAACTTGAATATCTAAGTTCAAAGATAGAAGCTTGTGGCTTTACATGTTACACTTTTATTTTTGAGTTGACACCATAGAAAAGTATAGGTTGAGATATGAACAGTGAAAGTTAAAGACACCATGTGAAGAAGATTCGAGTGAATTTGTGCAGCGAAAGTACATTGGCTTGAACCTTAAATTTGTCCCAGTTACAGGGTTAGGTAGCAGGGAGAAGGTTAAAAATGACACAAGTTTCAAACTGAAGCACATTAGTATCACACGAATCTAAAACAATCTTCTGAAATCTTCAGTTCAAATGTCTTTTATTTTCTTGGACATTTAAGAGGAAAACTTACATGTTAACATTCCATGTGATGTGTTGTACATTCCCAGTTATTGCTCTATGGTTGTCTCTGTATGTACATACAAGTACAACTACGCTGAAGAAAAGGACTTAATGCTCCAGGCTTGTAGTTTATTGTCCAGGCTTTAGGCCACACCAATTTGATTTGTTGGTTGTCAGATTTTTTTAAAATATGGTCAACTAGAAACACCTAATGAAAGCAAAGTCTGAGGACCTGGTTGATGCCTCGGTGGACTCAGTGTTATGTAGTAAATATGGCTGCCATATTCTAGTTTTCTTCCCAGCCCTCTCATTTTATGATGTCCGCTTGCTATCTTTTGAACTAAAAATGTCCGAGAACCAACAAAATGAATTGGTGTGGCCTTACCACCTTTATCTGATGTGCAATGGAGATACATTCATACAATAGATTGTCTTACCATGAGGGAATGTAAGAATGGAATGAGTTTAACAAAAATCACTTGGATTTAAGGAAAAGGGCCTTGAGCTTGTCATGTGAGTTATTTTTCATACATCTCTCTCTCTGTTTCTCTTTGTAAGACTTACAGTACAAATATGACAGTGCCAAACACATTGTGCCTGTATGTGGTTTAGTCACAACATACATGTATTGGGTGCACATTTACTCATCAGCATTCCCATATCTTATTGTAGAAGGTTAAATCTTGATACTCAACAACAAAAAATGGTCAGCCATGCACAACGCTTTTGTTAGAAATTCTTATACTCAGCTATGTACAATGTTCTTAGCCTGAATGTCAACCTTTTTAGCTTTCATACTACTGACCAATAGCGAATTGTGGGGAGCGTACAAAAGCTAAAAAGGCAGACACTCCTGACAGGCTACATTGCTCTTGTACTTGTTTTTAATAGCATTCTGAGATGTGTTATGTTTTCTGGAGGTCAGGATTTGTAACATTTTCACTGTAATACTGTATGATTAAGTCATTCAGGAACATGCAATTATGTTAAAACTGTATTGAATACATTATTATCAATGGATAGTGGTCAAAGTTAGGGTTAAGTGCTCCAGCTAATGCTAATCTTGCAATGTTTTACGGGGACATTATCTCAGGTGAAGTCTGAGCTAGGTTTTGAACCATTATAACTCATGTGCCATATTTTGTTCTTTTAATATAACAAACCCATGCCATCTATTTACACTCATCAGGTGCCAGTACAAGGGGGATAGTGGTTGGCAGACATGTCCTTTTGTGATGAAATTTGTAGAAAAGTCATTTGAGGGTCTAGTAGTTATCACAACCACCTTGTTTCGACAATGCCTTCATAAGGCCATGTTGATTTGATTATATGGATGACATCCGCGTGCGCATGAATTTAAAAAAAAAAGTTTTCAACCATGCTGTAAATCGTACAAAACAGTTGCAAAATTAGCAAATATATTAAACCGTAAGTTGCACAAAAAATATTGGAAAACAATGCCAATGTCATAGAATGCCAAAGTTTAACGAAAAAGACGAAAATGTAAAGAAATGAATCTGAAGAGTAGATTATTCGCCATACCATACCCTGTGTCATTTGTTCAACCTTCATGACCATGTAGATTTGAGAATGAAAGCAACTTTTTTTTTTTGCCAAACTTTTTTTTTATTCGCACGCTCGCATCAGTCTTGGGGTTCCCAGAGGATGTCATCCATATAATCAAATCAACATGGCCTAATATATAAGGGGGAAACAATCTGGAAACAAATGTAGAGTCTGCATCTCTCCAGCATTGATATACATGTAACGTTATATTATGTATCTGCTGCAATGAATGAACTGTATGAAAATTTGTCCTAATTCTCTGCATCAGAGACAGTACTGGAGCATATGTACAGTTATTGTTGTTACCTTATATACATGTACTCTGTGCGATGTGTAAAACAATCATGTTGCTGTTTGTGTTGTAATAAAACTGCTTCTACAATGTATATGGCATTCAGCAGTTTTAACTTCTTTATCTATAACATGCATGTTTTTCACCATTAGGCCGTTAGGCCATGTTAATTTGATTATATGGATAACATCCACACGCGTATGAATTTTCATCCATTAGGCCACACCAATTTAATTTGTTGGTTCTCGGATTCACCTCTTCATTTTTTTCTGATTTGCAAAGAAAAAGATTCTGGTTCTAAATCAATTAAAAAATGCTCATATTTTGCCCCCAGCAGTTGAGGAATTGTCTTTTTCTTCCTACTTGTTACAGTTTTTCCATCTATCAATGCAGTGGTTTGATTAAAAGTTAAAAATTCATTGTTTGAATTTTAACCCAGCCTTTTGTGTTGACTTCATGGGTCCTCTCCTATGCCTAGAACTGTTTTTATTTTTTTCGTCCTGTCGCTTCATATTTTTCATTAAAAAATCCAAGAACCAACAAATTAAATTGGTGTGGCCTTACCAAAAAAAAAGTTTCAACTATACTGTAAATTGTATAAAGCAGCGCTGCAAAATGAGCAAATATATGCAGTAAATTGCCAAAATAATGTTGGAAAACAATACCAATGTTGTAGAATGCCAGAATGCATTTAATTAAAAAAATCAATAAACTAGTGGTGGTTTCATCCAGGGAGGACGATTGAAGAACAGAAGTCGTCTTAAGTCATAATACATAATATGGTATTCATAACCTACATTTAAATTTATTTTGTATGGATTTATTTTGTATTGATATTTTATATTGATATTGTACTTAACGTTATATTGATATTGTGTAAAAAATTGAATTTCTGTTCTATCTTTGTGCATCTTTGAGACAAGACTCACGTTGGCAGTTGCCATGTGCATATTTAATTGTTATTTCCTGATTTCACTTTTGGATGCTTTCGGGAACGATACAGAAACCACCAAACTCCTGTCGCTCTCCGTGTGCTGCCTTAATCTTATCTGCCGCCAGGAGGCGCTTTGCCCAAACATTCAAACGAAGCGGAAGTCCCATGGTTCCTCACGCGGGATGGGGAGGAGGACGGAAACCAAAATGGCGGAGTTGAATTCTCTGATGGACGGAGAGATTCCTGCGGGAAGACAAGCCCTGCAGGAGTCGCAGTTCAACTTACAGAGGGTCGCCGACTACTGCGAAAGCAACTACATACAGGTAAGTCTCAAAACACGGCATTTTGTGCGCCTGTGGAGCTGAGAAGGCTGGAAATCGCGCTCCAAAGTCTGCGATACCGCTCGCTAAACATACGAACGTACTCACTCGGAGTAGCTGATATTTGGGTGTTTTCCCCCCAAAACTGTGCCTATAGTACGGCGTTGTCGGTCCTATCGGATTACCCCTGTCCTTTTTGAAGAAGCATACCTCATCGCAGAGCTACGTTCAGTAAAATTCCTGTTGAATCGACGTAGCTTTGGATGTTAAAATAATTTTAGGTTATGTGTGGGAGGGTGTGATAGTGACTAGAGGTGTCAAAACACACCCTACTCACTACAATTTTGTTGTTTATGTACTTTGAACCACCGCCAAAATTCTGTTCCTTCTTCCCTCACAATCCCACCCTGTAGAAAAGCAGAAATGCCGAGCAAAAAGGAAGCTTGGCCTCTGACTGTGATTGAATTTAAAAACGGAAATGAGTTCGTGTCTCAAAAGTCAGAAATATTACCTTACCTCTCCCCTTGTTCAAAATCAAAGCCTCATAATTTTTTTCACAAAAAGACTTCTGACAAGCTAACCCACTGACAAGATAACTTTAACCTTATTTCATTTTACTAGTTAACAATTTAATTGTGTGTTTATATTGTGTATTGTGTAAAAATAACTCTCAAGGGAGAGGTTTCCGTATTGAGTCACCACTTCTGACTATTCTATAAAGGGCAACTTCCTACCACACAGACTTTTCGGGGGAAATGTTTTTGTTTTGATCACAAAGATACTTAAAACTTTGTTATCCCCTGGATATTGTAGGGTTCTTTTAAAGTTGTAGCATACTTGTTAAAGTGTCAGATTGTATGTAACATTTTGTGGTCACAAATGGACATACATGTACTAGTACTTATTTATTTCTTTACCTATTGTTTATTTGATATCACATGTAGCAAGGCTTTGACATTTTTGAGAAAAGTGAATTTTTGTCGACTTCTTGAAGGAAGGTAAAGCGACAGTTGGGGATGTCTCAATACCAGCAAGTGTTCCCACTGTTTTTCTTTGTGAATCTAAATCGATTTCAAGATGTTATTGTTGTACTGTGCACATGAAGTGACCTACATGTGCATGAGAAGACTTCAAACAAGTTATAATGTTAAGATTTTCATGGAAGGACTGCAATGGAAGAATGTTCAATTGTAGAAAGAAAAGGAAATATGTGTAGAAAAGTGTACAGGATGAGCATACAGTTATCTCTGTCATCTTTGTGACTTCACTTGCTGGTTTGTTGGGAAGAAAATAAGACTTGTTTAAGAGCTTTTTTGATGATTTGAAGAAACCCTTGAAGAAGGGAGTTTGCAACAATTGGATTTTGCAATACAGTACATTATGGACCTTTGCCAAGACAAAATTGATGAACACTTGGTGGCAAGGTGGTTTTGTGGTCAGTTTAAAGTAAACATTTTATACCTATTTAGTAAAGTATTTTCTCCGTTGAAATTTACCACCGAGGTTTAGTTTTTAAGGAACATTGTCTTGTATGGGACATAAGACTTATATTAAGTTATTATAGTGTTATAGTTTCTGTGTCTGAAGAGACCAGACCACATAGACCTTGGGTCCATCCCAGTGTAACTGGATCAAACGTTACTGTTCTTACACATTTTGTAGCTGGTGTGTAATGCAACAAAGCGATTGTAAAGCAGACAAAAAAAACGAAGAAATAGTTTTCCATGGAACATGTCAGTATTGGCAGAAATTGAGTGATTTTGCCTTATGCCTTTGCCCAGGTATAAATGATTGATCGCTGCTGCTATCTCTGCCTGCTCTGATGGAATGTCCCTCGTTATCTAGTAGATTACATGGCTAATTAGATCTCACGCTTCCTGCCCAAGTTTGGACATTCTATCCCTCCATGTACATCGTAATGTCACGTTTTATCAACGTTTCTGTGACAATTTTTGTGCAGAAGTATATTATTACAACCTAGTTCTAATTATGACACTTGTGACTAAATAAAATAAGTTTTTAACCTTTTCTTTCCATTCTAGTGTATTAGATTACATGCATTAGAAACATTGTTAATATTTCTGCTAGAATTGAAAGGAAACTGTTTTGAGGGGATGTTTTATCAAGTTATGTTGTGAGCTTTCAGCCTAGTTGGGTCAAGTCCAACTCAACCATTTCCTGGAGTTTGGGGCCAGTCTTCGGATGCACCATTATGCTAGAACTAGTAGAAGGGGGTTACAGTAAAAATATGATGAAGTAACAACTTATGACATTGAATCTATTTGAACAAATGAGTGATGTTATTATTAAAGGGGAAGTTGTTTTGAATGCTACATTTACCTTTTAATATCAGTGGTTTTACATGTTTAGAGTATTGTGTCATTTTTGGACAATAGGTGGAAACGGAAGTTAAATGGAAGGGTGTGTGCATGTGGAAAGGGGAATAGACAACTTGCACGCAAACAAGCTGTTGTAAAAAAAAATAGAAAAACTAAAATGTTTCATCAAATAGTTTCAACATTATAGCTAATAATTGTAGCAAAATATTTTACAATTATTCTTACATTTTTTGTGGAGAAACTCCTAGAGTTTACATTTCAGATATATCGTAAATTTCAGTGGCAACACTTAATTCAATTAGATTTGTGGATGTAAGTTAGTACCAAATTATGTTCTGCAGTATTAGACCCATTATGAGGGCTTTTAGGAAGCCATATATGCTGAGACTGACCAAAATTTAATCATCTACATCAGCAACCGTTCTCTTTGTTGTGGAAGTATTAAGAACTAGGCTTAGGGTGAGGGTCTGTTATATTGGGTTTTTGAAATTTTGGTGCCAAGAAAACGAAAAAAAAAATGCAAAATTGTTTTGCTACGAACTGTAATGTTGGATTTAAAAAAACAAACAAACAATGTGTGCATTTCGAAATTCTTCTCATGCAAGTTAGATTAGAGGCCTTCATCGCCAAACAACTGTATTCTAAAACTTATTTTCATGACAAATCTGACTAACTAACTTACTAACTTACCCTCTTTATCCCTTGTGAGACATAAGCCCATGACTTTTTCTGGCCAAAAAGAAAAGAGAAGAAGTCAAAAAGATAAAAATTAATCTGCAAATATGCTTGTGATCTTTTTTGGTGCAACAGTTAGTAACTTGGTATCAACAGTTTTCCATACCAGATTCTTTTTCCTTTCTAAATCTAATACAAATGTATTCCTTAATCTCCAAGCAGATGTTGATGTGGAAGATTGTAATGTCTGGCTCTTCTGACAGTGAATTTCTGTCACAAAAACTTGGTCAGTCAGAAAACATTACCATCTTTCACCCAATATCTACTTGGACTTGTAGGTAATGTTTCCCCCAGTCAATAAGGTAATTTGTAGAGCCCCTCTCCGGCTACTATAATGGAAATCAGGGACTGTTCATGAATTATGTAGTCAGGGTGTATGGGATGATTAAAGTGGAGGCCCCAATTGAAATGTACCCCCATGGGAATGTGGTGATATTTTTTCATGGGGAAATTTTCAAAGAGGAGAACACACAAAGGAATTGTGCAGGATTGGATAGCAGTCATGTCCAAATTTGCTAACTCAGTAACTGCGGGTACAACACAAAATTATAATGGCTTTTTTTTATATAAAAAAAATGTTTTGTTCCTATATACTTCTTATTTCAGCAAGCATTTGAACAATGGCCATGATTTAGGTTTCTATAATTGTGAAGTATATGTGCATATGATTTTTATGATTGTCTTATTGACATATTTTATTTTAAAAAAAATACAAAGATAGACAGACAAAAATATATTGCACCATAATTTTTAGGTTAGGCCTGCACCAATGATTAGGCCACAGCATGTAAATTCTATAGATGACATCCTCCTCAGACTCCAAATCTAAAGTGAGCGGGCGAAAATACAAGGTTCCTACAGTTTAAAATTTTGACTCAATCATTGTACAAATGGTTTTGATTCAGTGGGAACATCACATATACACAGCCAACATCACATATCACTGCATCAAAGCAAGAAACAAAACATTAAATCAGAGCATTTTTTTGTCTCCTCTCTTCATAGTTATCTGCCATCTACATTCCGGTATGGCAGCAGACATCTTTCCCCATTTTCGGCATGTTGACCACTGTCAGAAGGCAACAAAATTTCTTTTTTTTCCCCAAAATCGGGCGAAATTAATGCGCACGCTGATGTCGTCCATAAAAATGACTTGCTGTGGCCTTATGTATCTATTCCCAAATATGAATTTGGCACCCTGCCTTATGTGTATAAGATCTGGGTCATCAGGCGGATATGTACAGGATATTCAACAAAGGAAAAACAGCTTGTTTTTGGTGACTCATAGTTGTGTAATATCCTAGCTAGAGCCTTGTACTTATAAGGTCACAACATTAATGTGCTTTATTTATTACTGGTGCGGTCTCCCCTGTGCAAATAAACTGGTCATTTGAAAGGAAATTTTATTATTGGTTATATAGAGCTATGTTTATGTATGAGAATTTCAGTGAATAAGGTAACATGAGCTATGAGTACATTACTGTTGTTATATTTTTAGATGATTCTAGGCAGTCTCTATTATCTATAGAGATGCAGGGCTGGAAATACTGGGTGCATGTGCACCTTAGTACACCCAAAATTGGAGCTGTGCACCTAATTTTTTCTAAGGGTGAAAATGGTGCCCCCAAATGTTTTTGTAGGTATTTTTGTACATATTAGATGTATACCGTAATACAGGATATTCTTAGAATCTAAGTGTCAGAAAAATAATAAAATCTTTGTTGTAGTACTTGTGTAAGATTTTGAAGTTAGCTTCCATTTCAGATTCAAGCTCAGAAGAGGATCAGTAAGATCTGTAATAAGGTTTTGTTTTATATGGTGCACCCAGAGACATTTTTGTGCACCTGATTTTTTAGGTTGGGTGCACCAGTGCACCTATTCTCAAAAATGAATTTCGAGCCCTGAGATGGCAATGTTTAGTATAACTTA